ATGAGCTAGGTCCTTGTAGCAAAGGCCTGTGAAGAAGCGGTGAGACTATCCGATTAATATGTAGTCCGCAAATCTGTTGGAGCTTTTTCCGAACTGCAGACCAACAGATCTGCGGATCAAATATGGCAACCCGCTAAAAAGCTTGCGCCATAATTCCTTACCAGACACTGAATGGATTCCCTGCAGGGATTACACAATACGCATTCATTTGGGTCGGCCACATTTGATCCGTGGATCTGTTAGTCCACTGTTCTGAATGCGCTCTGATATGACCATACATGTCTGGTTGAACAGCCAATGTACCCTGGTGCCTTATGTGCCCCCCATGTTCTGATAACATGGCATAATCTGGATTAACAGGATTAATTTAAGGGCAGGAAAGATGGCTAGGAAGAGCAACTGAACAGGATGTCTTTGCCTCTGGTATTTTTAGAAAGGATTACAAGAGTTTTGTGATAGATGAAGGAGTTATATCACTGATAGATAGCCAGTGGCCAATTTTAATTATTTTATGGTAATTATTCATGAAATCTGAACAAAATGAGCAAATAATTTCCTTGAATGATAATGTTTAGTAAAAATATTGATTTAGAAGTCTTGGAAAGTGTTGGGAAATATATTTCCATATAATATCGTAGGTATGATTAATCTCTAAAACGTAGAATGTTAGACTAGAAATTGGACCCGTTCATAATTTCAATATATATCTCAGGAGGGGTTCTTAGTAGTCACAGCTATTCAGAGTGCAAAGAATGTAATCTAAGAAGGGCGTGTTGCTTTTTCCCCTTAAGATGATTTTTGGAAGACCCCCGAAAAAGCATGGTACATAAAAATAATACATAAAAAATGCTTCTCTGCAGGAATTTGGAGCAGTGTCCCAGGAGGTGGGCAGAAGCTTTTGTTCAACACAAAAAGGGAAGGTTTTTCTTTTTTCAAAGTCTTGTTTGAAATAAGAGCTCTTTGGATATCTTTTATGATTTAATACATAACCATCTAATCCTAGACAGTGACAATGTGGGATTGTCATGTTCGCCTTGTGAGTTCCATTCTTATATCTGACTAACATCTAAGACACTTGAATTGCCTCGTTGAACAGAATCTGGAGACATAAAAATGGGATAAAAGACACCCACTTTTGGTTGATATTTAGGTCCAGTTTCTAATGCCAGTGTAAGGTATTCCACTCAGTATTTTTACTAAATTGTCTACATATAACCTTGTACAGTAATTACTATAGATTTTCAAATGCATCAAATTTGGCAAAATGTATTCTCGTTTAAGATTTATTGTTTTTGATTACTGAGAAAACTACTTTCTGACCTGAGTCACCTAACATTTCAAAATATTTGGACTAACATATCAACATGTTTCTAATAAATTTTTTAATGTGAGAGAGGGTACATGAATTCAGTTTGTTCGAATTCACTGAATAATTACCATGCACTTTTTTCCAAAATGTCTTTTTTTGGTTGCTAAGAGTAAGAATACTTTGCTACTTAATTTATGTCTCTCCACTACATGCTGCGTGTGAGGTGGGCTATTTCGATAAAAGAACTACGTCAGCTTGAAAAGGGGCCCTTGTAGCTTGACAAATAGAGATACTGGTGGAGCTAAAACATTAATGCAGGGACACACACCACTTCCATTAGTTCTTGACGGTTCCGTGTTTGAAGGAGTGAGTTGGCTCCCTTAGCTTCACTTTTATTGAAATTTGTCAAAAAGGGATGAATTCATCAACACTTTGGATTGTCCCTGGGGATAGAAGCCATGGCTTGCTTGAATATTTTGAATCTGATTGATCATTTTTCATTGCAGTTTGTTTAAATAAATGGTTGGGTGGGGTAAAGGGAGATGGATTAAAAGAAATGAGAATGTCACGATTAATGTGGAAATTATTTGATCTGTTGGATCAACCTTGAAACTATCATTGTACGTTTAGACTGTATAAATCAAATAGCTGGTATATTTATTGAAGAAAAAAACAGGTTGACTGATATTTTGAGATGAAGCTAATTTTTACCCTATAATTTTTTATTATTCTAAGATGCCTTTTGATTGTAGTTAAGTTTTGAATTATGTTCATTAGCACTAATATTGCTAAGGGTGCAGGGCACACACACAAGGATGAAATTTGTATCACTTGATTGCTAAATATAAAACAACAGGAGAGGATAGATTTACTATAATAGTAAGATCACATGAAATTTTATCACTATTATTATTATTTGGAGTGGGGGGCAGTGAAGAAGGTGAAATTGGGGTGGGGGGAGGGGAGGGGACAGGAATTCACAGTAAGGCACAAGACCACTATGCCTCCCCCCATCCCCCCTTGTACATTGATCAGCAATTAACACTTGCAGTGTACTTAATGAACTCCTGGAAATGTCACGAATGACACAAGGTTTGAAATAACCTTGAAACAGTTTTGTTTTGTGTCTATGGCAGAGACATGCAGACACACAAACGTCATATACATATTCACAGACAGGGACATAATGGGTCCAAGGATATACTGCTTGAACTTTTTGACTATTGAATGACAGGCAGTGTACTGAATCTAATAGCACCAGATGAGAAGGCAGTGAAAAAAATGACACTTGATAGCACTAGATGAGAAGTTGGTGACATTTAAATTTGTGTTTTGGAGAAAAAATAGTGGGTTTGTAAGATATTTGCAAAGTAAATAATTCGGGTTGGGGTTCTATCTCTTTTTGGCTGTTTTCTTCCTTTTTATGTGAGTGAAAGATAGGTGAATTGCTAGGGTTCGTTTAATCAGAATTTAGTGAAATTAAGAGATGGTTTCCTTTCCAAATTAAAAAAAATGTTTATCTTCTCTTGACGATAATTGTAATGTAATCAGTATTTTGTTTTATCAGAATGAACAGACTAACTGATATGGTTTGAGTGTCAATTGCTGGTGGAAGTTGAACAATTTTATGGGATGTTAAGAATAAACTCTAAAATGTCAATGTTAGACTTTTTTGTTTCTTTGCTGATTAAACAAACTGTGTCCGTTTGTTTAGTTTCTCAGTTTCCCCCTGCACTCTACAGTGTAGCTTTAATATGTGAACAGCACGGCGCCATGTGCATGTAGTTATAATTGGATCTCTTAAGGTTAAAAAAGGTAGGTAAAACCCAAATAGCTTGGTAACTTTGCCAAGCCTGTGTAACAGGTGGAGAACATAATAGCAGACAAGCTGTTCCCCCGTTCTCTTTGATTGAGACCTTCAGTTTTATTGCACCGCGGGGCTGAGGTCAGGAAGAGGACATCTTTAAGCGTCAGCTAGCATGCAATAATGACACGCACTTTTCGCATGAGGATAATTACCTTACGCCATGTCGCACAAAATGACAGCATGTATAGACATTCAGCTACTCCCAGTCTGTGAAATTAAGAGCCAGTGGGCTGTGCCATATAATGTTCTGTAACTTGTAAGATTTTGAATGGATGGAGGAAGCAGAGTCGGTATTGAAATTGGTTTACATAGTTGAGCAGCAAGCATGTAATTTGCAGAAGGTTACGCCCTGAACCTAAAGCAGGAAAAAAGTCAGCATCTAGTATGAAAAAGTCAGCATCTAGTGATGTTATAAAGAGAGTGTGCACTTTTTTTTTAGTTAACAATGACAAATTTTGTGTGTCATATCTGACCCAAACTGACTGAGACTTTCCCTAGTAGAAAGAAGCAGAGGTCATATATTTTAGGTTTGGTTAAGCATAAGTCAACAGTTGTTCTGAAATTAAAAATTTCATACGAGAACATGTGCTCTATCTCGCCAAGGCAGCTGTCGCAGACAGTTTTGTTTGATAATCATTCAATATGTTGACACTTGTAACCTTGTATGTCTGTTAGGAGAGTGTCAGAGTACTTGACTTCATTATTTCATTCACAAGTGGCTTCTCTCTTTTTCACCTTTCCCTCTGTTTACAATGGCAACTCTTCACATTTCTCTTAATGAATTACTACACTGAAAATACCTCAGAGGTGCAATAGCTTATAACATTTACACTATTGACAAGGCCATTTTGTATATGATTTTTGATTTTTTGATTCCATGGCCAGTTTATGAAGTCAAGAGGCCAGGGATGATGGATGATGAATTTTTTGCTAGAAAAAATTGTTTATTTTGTGTATGGTTTAGTTTAGTCTGCATACAGTTTAGGGTCTGTGTTTGCTTTCATATCTCTGCTTCATTGGGTAGATTGTATTTTTAGCAATGCTCCGAGTATACAAACTGCCTGGAAGAAAGAACTAGCTTCCTGACGCTTTAGGGCCTATTGCTTCCATAATCCTTTCTTTTTTCCTCCATCTTTTGTGAAATTTGAGCTCTGCAGACTGCATTGCCACCTTGCTATCAATGGAAACTGTTGTGAAATTTTCTACGGTTATGACAAATACAAATAGTTTCTACTTTATAGAATGAAAACGCCAGATATATGTGTATATATATATATATATATATATATATATGTCTACTTGAACGGACTGTGACACTTATCTAACTGTACTTAATGACCTTCATCATTGAGCTTTCTGACTCCATTTTTTCTTAAATTTACCTCCATTTTTTTTTTTAAATTTACCTCCCATTTGCATGCCAAGTACACATGGAAAAAATTCTTTTTCTCCTTTTTAAGTGAAAAAAAGTATACCTTTTTATAAAGACAGTACACAGGATAATATAATTCTCTTTAAGTTTCTTTCATCCCTCTAATTTGTAAATCAATGATAATTGCCTGAACATCGTTCACATCAGAGATGTAGTTTACCAATGCAATATTGAGTTAAAATGAACAATTTAAACATACAAACAAACAAACAGTTTCATATAGCCTCAGGTCAGCAGTTAATTTTTGCATGTTTACATAGATTTTTGTTTTGTTCTCCAAATCTGATAATATTAACTTGTTATGAATTAGACAGTTGCCTATTTTTTTCTATGGTAATGTCTAAATTATAGATATTGAGGTTTAAAAATATCCTTTCCATTTATTCTTTCAGACTGGCAGCATTTTTCATAACGGAGAACATTATTTCATAGAGCCGCACAACCTCAGTCGCAGCGGTCGAGACGAGGGAAGGGCAGAGGCAGAGGAGTGGCAGAAAAAACATATCATATATAAATCCTCCTCCCCGCTTCTCGACATTCTTCCATCACATCCCAAACAGGATCAGCATTTAGAGCATTGTGCAACAGAAGGTATGGAAGATCTGTTTTGTATTTTAGTCCTTATTGTATGTGTAAAATATATACTTAGTGTCATTAAAACACGCAGGTCAGAAAATCAAACTTTTGTCATCAGATATTTCTTTATTATACTTTATGTAAAATGTAAAATTTATCTACCCCATGGCTCAGGGTTGTTGTTTATACCAAAGTGTTTTTAATGATGCTAAGTGTATCATAGTTCTTTATGTTTCAAAAAGTGATTTTGTTTGTTTTTTTTAATATATACTTAGATTTTATTGCAGGTGAGTGCAGTGAAATGTTTTTATTTTATCTCCTGGGACAATGGTCTGCACATTTGTCAGATTTGCTGTTTTGCATGTGCAGGCAGTTTCAATGGCTGTAACAGAGAAGCATTTTTTCAATACATCCCCTGTCTTGAAGCAGGGGCGGATCCAGAGATAATTTCTGACAGTCTTCCAAATTATCTTTGTTGATCCATTCTCCATTTTTGACCGTCTTCCAACAGGAAAATTAAAAAATTAGTTACCCATCCATATAAACTTAAAAAATCTGACTGTCTTCTGGAAGACTTAGAAGATGGTCTCAATCCGCCCCTGTGAAGTATCATTTTATAGATTTTATTAAATGTTGATACATAGACTGCTTCAAAATAAATTTGCTCCATGTTTGGATCACTGGCAGAAAAGATATGAGGGATCCCTTTAAGATTAGAAGTAACGATAACCTGCAGTTACCAAGGCCCTTGGACCCCCTGCTTTATGTAATTATATGATGTCTGTATTGATATATGTAATCACATTTGACAGTTTGAGTGTGATGAACTCACCTAAATGATATCAAGCCCTGATACTTCTACTATTTACTCTATTAATTCTATTTTGGAGAGGGTCCATGACTGTTTATAACTCCATTAAAGTTTCTCAAAGTTTGTGTCAAACCATGATATTTATATTTATCAGTTGCTAATATGCAGAAATAGTCAAAAGGATTAAACTGTATTTTCAAATGTGCCTACAGATTCAAAACAGTAAATCTCTCTCTCTCTCTCTCTCTCTCTCTCACCTATATTGTCTTATCTAAGGAATGCATTTAAATGATACGTATATCACAAGTGAAAGATAACCCAACAGCATAAAGATGCAAACTTGGAGTGGTATGAAACCAATACACATATAACCTGACTATCTACATTGATTAGAAATAGTTAATTTATCATCTGAGGCACCGCAGAACACCTCTCTGGACCCCCTCAGCCCTTGCACACAGACCTGTGCACGAGACATGGAAATCTGTATCTGCTTTTTTTTTCCTCAGAAATGCATGCAGTGCGCCAGGTGGGGAAAGTGAGGGGGGGGGGGGGGCACGACTGAGACTGGTTGTATAAAAATAAAACATGGTCAGGGTTGTGCCCAGAGACCACTGCTGTTGAGAGAAAGAGAGAGAGAGAGAGTAGGAGGGAGAGAGAGGGAGACTGCTCCTGGCGTCTCAATGGGCAAATTAGGTTATTACAGAGCCACAGCAAACCTGTGTACTTGACAGAGGTCTGGCAGAGGTCATGACCTTTATAATCCCACCCAGGTCCGCCCCAGTCCTGTATCCCCAACTCTTCACATAAATCTTCTAATTAACTTTATGAAGACTGCTGTAGATCTGGCTTCTGTATGGAGGTTTGCACTGAATCCACCCTCATCTCTCCTCCTTTCATTTATTGTTCTTCTCATTTACTTGACAAGCTCTCTTCTTGGAGTGTTTACACTGGGACATCTGGGAGCTGTTCTGGCACGAACCTGGGTTGAACTAGTTTGGTCAAGGCATGAGATAGTAAAATTGATTGAAGAAGATTTTGTCATAAGATGGTTTAAATCAGTTGTCTTAATCATATCAAAATCTAAATTAGTAGTTTGTTGGTTGATTTAGAAAATATTGCGAATCAAGTTAGCCACGTGAAAGAACTAAATTTTGCCAAGTGTAAAAGGCAACTTTACTGTGAACCACAGGAGTTGAACTCAGTAGGCCCCTTTTTCCCCTCCAGACTAATTGGCTTCAAGTCTTGGAGTCCTGGCTCTTGGGCAATTATTTTGTACATGTATCACTATTAAAAGAACAGGAATTCTCTGGGATTTATAGGTAAAAAAACTTGCAAAGACATTTTACGTTGATTAAATATTGTGATCTGTTCTATAAGTTTGGAGTTCTTGTACATTTCCCATGATGACCAACCTCAAGCTCTTGGACTATTTATTGTACATAATTGGTCCTCCAGCTAATTGACTAAAGCCATGTTCAGACTAGACCACTTTTTAACGAAAAAAGTGGACAGAGGTCAAGGGACCTGTTTCACAAAAGAGAAACATAGAGTCCAAATTCTTTTTTGCCGAAATCCTATTTTAAGGACAACATACAGCAGATTACTTGGAAAAAAAAAATTAACGATGAGGTCACTAACCTCAGAATGAATCAAACCCTGAACATTTTGCAGTGCACTGTGGCCAAGTGATCCCCATTTTTTTCCATGTTACATCACTCAGAAGACCAGGGGCTCACATGTGGTGCAGGAAGTCTTTGTTTTGAGTAAGATGCCTTGGAAGTTTTTTTAAGGAGAGCTGTGCCTATTCTATACCTAATACCCTCTGTGCACTATTACACTGTCCCCAGAGTGTCAGGCAAGGAATTATGGTGTGTGTGTGTGTGTGTGTGTGTGTGTGTGTGTGTGTGTGTGTGTATGTGCAGGTGCATGTATATATACGTGTGGGGGGGGGGACAAGTGCTTAAAGCATCTTCAGATAAAAGTGTGCTTTTTAAGGTGGATTCCTCTCTGAAAATTTTACTCAGACTATGTTCAATACAGATGTTAAAACCAGCCTTTGCTATCTGGGACAGAACAACACGGTCGTGTGAAAACCTGTTTGAACATGAGCATCATGCTGTGCCTTTCGTTTCTGCACACTCACACACTGACTGTGTTAGAATATCTGATTATGGCACACATATCAAGTGCCTTTCGCCTTTGTGTTTTTTTTTTCTTCTCTTTTTAATTGTCATCCTGTGTTTATAGCTTGCATAACAACTCTTGTTGTATTCCGCATATTTTAATAATGGTGTGTATCGCAAGGTTGCATTATAAGAGAAGAAAGCAGGTGCTTTCTACGTGTTTATTCTTCATTTTTTTCCTGGGTTCTGCTCAAATTGACTTAGTTTCACCAATTTCCATCAACTCACCCGTGAGTCATCAATGTGTAGTCAGTTTTTTTAAATACATTAGTTGTGGCAAAAGCTTTGTGCAAATTTCAAATATTATGTCTCGAATGTCTGACCCCATGTTCAACCAATCCTGATGCGATCACCCTATTTATTCCGTTTGTAATTTGAGGAGATTTATTTATAATGAAAAGTTTTGCCCTGGCTCAGGGGACCATTTAATTGCATGTATCTCCACATAAAAGATGTTAAGTGCTATTGAAATTCGACAAGAATTAATGGAAAGGGTTTGGATCTAACTGTTAAATATGTAAGTATTCTAATTTGCACTCTCTCTCTCTCTCTCTCTCACTCTCTCTCTCTCTCTCTCTCTCTCTCTCTCTCTCTGTGTATGTGTGGGGAGGCATGGAGGGGGAGGATTTAATTCTGTTCAAAAGCCATATCTCCTGCTCTATCATTTAAAGGGAAATTTTGATTTTGAAATAAATAGTTTGCATGGCAGAGTTTGAACGCAAGATGATCTTGTCGTGCTCTTGTCTTGGTACCATATCGACATGGCACATAGGCAGTTCATGATGTATTCAAAAGGACACAGCTCCCGTCATTTGAGAGGTATAGAGACACCTATGTCTTCCTGTGATGCCTTTAACATTAATTCACTGATATGTAATTGAACCTTTTATCAAGTGGGGGTCGTCTTACTGCAGCTTTCTTGACTTTCAATAAGGCCCCTGGGGACAAAAAGCCCTGGGGCTTTTCTGAGGGGAACTTGCCTCTGAAAAGAATAAAAGCGGGAACAACTGCCTGAAGCACCAACTATAATTTTCTCTTACGAAATTGAAATGAGTTTTCATCATAAACATTGATTTGTGTTTGTTTTTCAAATACCCTGCAGAAGACATTTTATCGTGTAAAATTGAAAATCATTTTCAGTACAAATATTTATTCATGTTTGGTTTTTGATTGCACTACTGTTTTGGGCTTTACATTGCCTCTAATTGTAAATGTTACTTAATTGTAGTTGTCCTATTGCTACAAAGCATCAATTTATTTCTATACAACACTTAGGGTAGCATTACAATGAGCGATGTTTACAAATAATGATGCATACATGGTGTTTCTATTGTAGAAACATTTCTTTGTGAATCAGCAATATTTCCTTAAAACATTTATATATCCTTAGATTGCTCTGAGCTTCAATTCTGAAATGACCTGTTCTGCACACGCTTTATTGGAGGCTAAATAAGGTTCTGAAAGTGGAACTCTCACTTACCCTGAATTTCAGTGTTTCATTTTAGTCGTGCCATGTTTTACTGTCGTTTCACAAAACAATGTGACAAGATAAGCCACATTTAGCTGTGTATCTTGTCAAAAGTTTTGTGTAGTGTTACATAATGTGTGAACAACATCAAAAAGTTGATTGCAATCAACATTCACTATCTACTCTATCATTTTTAGAGAGCTTCTGCTCTCTTCTGTTTTACATCATTCATTCTGTTATGTGATACTTTTAACCTTGGCTGTTGAAGTTAATTGCAATAAAATAATGTACTAATTGCATAATCAGATGCTATGAACCAAGGGTTGATCAATTTAACAAACAAATCAAAGTTTTAAACAAATGATTCTTTCCACTGACTCAAGTTTTCCTCATAAAACACAGGGTGCCTTACAAAACCTAATATGACCAACGAAAGGGGGGTTCTCAGAAAAATAAAATAAATGGATGTCAGGTGGTGAAAAGGGCAGGTGCTCAGAGGTGGGTGATTTATTTGCTGACCAGCTGGGCCACTGTGTGAGCTACTGGTGCT